CCTTGATGCCTTTGGAGCCATCAGACTCCATCTGGAACAGGGGTTGCTGTTTTTCCTTTCCTGAGTTTCTCATTTTCTCCATTGTATTCATTCAGAGGGGAGAAAAAGACCTCATAAATGTCATTTCATATTCCAAGCAATTTGCTATAGGCAACTACACCATTACTTTGTACAAATAAATTTACATAAATCATTATTAGAATGTTTTATCTTGGCAACATTATTTGGTTCTCAGAGCACAAATTAAATGCATGCTTAAAGCAGAATATTTTAAAGTTATTCCTATATTGTTTATGAGACAGGATTAGAAATTTCCATCTAATTTTTCTTTCATAATGGAATTCCTTTAGTTTTCTTTGTACATTTAGAAACCACGTGTATAATTTTCTGGGGGGTTTCTTGAAGTGAGCAAGGCAATAGATGACTCAGTCATGTTGGTCTCATTTTTCACCAACTGCTGCCTTTGCCTTTATGGGTTTGGGTCTGAACACTGATTAGGAAGCCCGGGAACCAGGGAAATGACAATACACAGTTGGCCTTTCTTTTGAGTAGATGACTTTTTGTTTGCTATTATTCTGCAAGCTAACTGGTCTTTGTGGTGGGGCTTTAATAAAAAAGGAAACAGACGTGTAAACAACCCCCTGAACTTTGTTTTTCCTCTCTGCTTGGGTTGGGCTGGTGATTGGACTAACATAACAGCACCTGGCAAGTCTTCCATGGCTTCAGTTTTACTCCACCCCAGATTTCAAAACAATATTTTTTTCCCGTATATAAAATGCAGGGTCCAGTTTTAGAACAAGGTGCACTTGTCAATGTCAGGGCCAGGAGCAGTGGGAGGGGACAGAACAGGAAGTCTGTCCTGGTCCTGCTATCCAAGGGCTCTGGGGAATTACCCAGGGATCCAACATCTCATCTTCTCGATGGTGTCCTGAAGAGCTGGACCAAACACACAGGGTGGATCCTTCTAGCAGGATGTGACCTGAGAACAAATTCCCAGGCCAGTGTCAGAAAAGTGGGGTGCCATGTGGTCACGGGTGCAATCCTTGTAAGAGCGAACAAGCAGTCCCATAGAATACTTGAAAGCACGGAGTCAGATGGGCCTGAGTTCAAATCAAAGCCACTCACTAGCTGTGTGAGAGTCAGCAATTCAAAGCTTTCTGCTTCTCTGTTACTCTTTTTTTAAGGGGGGCAGTACTGGGCACTGAACCCAAGACCTTCACACTGAGCTATACTCCCAGCCCTATTTTATTTTTTATTTTGAGACAGGACCTCGCTTAGACACTAAGTTGCTAAGACTGGGCTCGAATTTGCAATCCTCCTGCCTCAGCCTCCCAGAGTGCTGGGATTACAGGTGTGCACTACAACACCTGGCTCTTATCATACCTTTTAAGGCATTTTCAGACATCTTATTTGAACTTTTCAAAAACTCTGGAAAAATGTAGGACTGGATTAATTCCCCTTTAATCATGAGCAAACAAAGGCACAGGAAAAGCATGGACCTTCCCACAGTGACCCAGCGTTGTAGACACTTAAGAATAGGTGTGAGCTCTCAAATCTTCTTTCACATGTTGCACTAACCAAGAAGCCACCCGATCCAACTTTGGGTAAGCGGGAAAGAAACTTTCATCCAACTAAGCCCTTGAGCCTTGGAATGTGCTTTGTATCCTAGTCTACTACAGCCTTTCCCGGCTCAGCCAGTTCATAAAGTTAGAATCCACATCCCTAGCCATAGCTTCCACGGCAGTGCTGCTGGTCCACTTACCACACTTTGGAACCATGGCAGCTTCAGCCCTAGCTGAATGCTGTCCAGAACCAGCCGTGTATATTCTCACACTTGGCTGCAGATCGGTGACCTGGGAGTTTGTCAGAAATGCAGAATCTTAGGCTCCAAGAGCAAGATCCCTCATGCGATTTGTTTGTGCATTAAAGTTTGAGCCTCTTGCTTTAAGCTAGTCACAACATCATAAATGCTCTGTTGCTAGATAGGCATGAGGAAAGAGAAAGTCCTAAAAAAAATAAGTGCTCTTAGGTACTTATTGTAATTTATTTGGCAGGCAGTGGCCAATGTGGCCACATTAAAACTTGTTTAAATGAATACAATTCTGTAGCATTCAAAAAAAATAATTTTTCATTATTTCCTTAATTCCAGAGAAAATTAAATATGTATTTATTTTGTTATACTAAATACAACGAAAGAGATTTCGGATATACTTTTCACCCAAGCATACTACAATCATCCCTGGCTCAGACAATTAGTAAGGTTAGAATCCATATCTCCAAATTTCATTATAGTTTACATTCAGCAGGATCATAAAATCCTAGCAGACTGGGAGAAGCATGTTGCCAAGATTAAATGTCACAGCATACTCACGGTAAGACTTCATGCTTACTGCATTTAAAACAAAGTATTTATTTAATTTGAAATAAAATAGCTCACTTGCAGCACCAAGAAAAAAGAAAAAAGCTCCAAAATTCAAAGTTCATTTTAAATTTGGTGCTGATTTGTTTCAACGTTTAGAATAATCCAAGATGCCCGGATGGCTCCTTTTAGGAGTAATATTGTATCTAAGTTCTTGAAATGCAAAGGCCTCAATGATGTATCTTGATTTAATTGAAAGTTAAAGGGAGAAATGGAAGAAGGGAACTAGAGTGTGATCAAGTCACTATCTCAGCCTAGAAAATCCATCCCTTCCTCTCAGTCCTATTCTAACCCTATTCATCCTTCAGTCCTATTTTCTTAATGGGGAAAAAGTCCCACACATCAAATTTTGCAATGCATATGTCACAGAATTGCCTAAGCCAGGGCTTAGCAAACTTCTGTCAGTTGATTAATAGTTTATGGTTTTTGTTGTATCTATTGAATTCTGTCACTGTAGTACACAAGCTGCTATTGATAATCCAGAAATGAATGAACACAGTTGTGTTCCAATAAAATTTTATTTAGATATGTTGAAATTTGAATTCCATAGAATTCTTTTTTTTTTTTGGAGACAGGGTCTTGCTATGTAGTTCAGGCTGTCCTTAAACTCACCGTGTAGAGGCCCGGGGATTTAGCTCAGTGGTTCCGCTGCTCGCCTCAAAAGCGCAAGGTCCAGAGTTCAATCCCTGGTACCAAAAAAAACCTCACTATGCAGCCCAGGCTGGCCTCGAATTTTCAGCAATTCTCCTGCCTCAGGCTCCCAAGTGCTGCGATTACAACGTGCGCCACCACACCTGGCATTCCATTGAATTCTTATGAGGCACAAAATGTTAATCTTCTTTTAAAAATTTCCAACCATTAAAAAATGTCAAAACCCTTCTTAGTCTGCCTGTCATGTACCAACAGGCAGAGGGCTGCCCTCAGCCAGTGGGCCCAATGTAGTTTACTAAGCCCTGGCAGAGGCTTAGAAAAGGTAGGGCAGCTCTCATTAGGCAATCAGTTCTGTGGGAAGGAAACATGAATACTGTTATTCTAGTTCTTCCACTTCCTTCTGGCTGGTCTGGGACTGTGATCCCAGAAGGCTGGAGTTCCTCAGTTAGCGAGGGCCTGTGCTCTCAGGCCCAGTACAGTCAGGCGGATGGAGTGGCCAGGGGACTGCCTGACTGGAAAATTGAGCATCTCAGCTGGCAACTCTAACGCCAAAGACCTAGGAAAGTGATGCTGCTTTAGCCAGCTTGATAGAAAGCAGCAATCAAAAAGAGCCAGGTATGGGCAGGATTTGGCGCACCATTCCCAAATTAATCAGAGCACCTGGCTCCCTATCGCTGACTGTGGCCCCAACGTTGGCCTTGAGACTCTCTTAAATCCAGGCTTTCAAAACTTTCTAGAGGTGTCCTCCTCATCAACTTACAAACTCAGGTTCTTGGCCTCCTACCCTGCAGCTCTGTTTCCCAGCTCACCATCAAAGCTTGTGAGCACCAGGCACTGACCTCACAGCCTCTGGTGCTTCCAGGGCCTCGTCAAGCCCGGAATGTCTGGGAGTACTTGGAGGGGAAGAAAGCAGCTGTGCACAGGAAGAGTAAATAGTGAGGTAGACAGGCAGGGGAAGGATGTGCGCCAGCCCAGAGAGGCTGAAAAGACCACAAGGCAGCAGCCAACCCAGAGCTGGGCAACAGTGGCCCCAGAAAGATGCTGCTAGCCAGGGCCCTTTGTAACAGGGCAGATGGGGATTCCCCGGGTGCTCTACTCTGTTGTTTTCGTTCAGGGACCCAGGCCCTTAGGCTCTGGTCCTGGCTGGGAACTAAGATCACGGTCCTCCAAACACTGTGGTACAGGCAGCCAGGGCCTTGCCACCTGGCTCCCAGCCAGCTCATTCCCACCTTCCCATCGAGGCGCCATGTCACCCCTGCTCCCTCTGCCTGGCAAATGACAGTGAAAAAACCACTTGAGACCCTTCTTGGCCCATGCATTCTCCCCTAACTATGCCAATCCCAATGTGGAAGTTTGTCAGTTCCCTGAAGTGAGGGCTAAGGTGCCCAGCCCCACTCTAAGCTGGACCCAGTGTTCTGGTTGTGAATCTTTGGCAAAACCATAAGCTCCCCAGGGAAAGGCACTAGTCTTATTCTTTCTTACCCCCATCTATCCCAAGAGCACATAACAGATATTCAATAATACTTATAGAGCACAACTAGAAGACACAACATTAGAAAGAATAATACAATTAAATATGGTATTATGAGAGAGGCGCTAATTTAGAGGCACAAGTTTCTGTAGGAAAATTCCCAGCTTTGTTCTGGTTGCTTTGTGCATCTAGGAGACACACCAGAATTTTAAATAAAGATGTGATTCAATGTTTTCAATCATCTTAATGTCTAAATTGGATTGACCACATTGTCAGTCTGATCAGCTGCATGAATTGATCATTAAGATTGGGAGGAGGAGCAAGGGATTGATGCCAATGGATGGAGAAACAATCAATTTGGCATTTGCATTTAAATATAGCATTAGTATTTCATTTGTTCAATGTAATAATCTATGTAAGGTGCAGCAGGCTGGGGAATGGAAGGCACAGTGGGGTTACCTGAGTCGGAATGGGTCCAGGAATCCAAGGTCAGCATCGCTCCACCTCTGTCACAGAATAGACAAAGAGGCTTCCATCATCACAAAACGATGCTTCTAGAGGCTGGTGGAGAGGAGCAGAAGGAGGAGGAGATTAGAGAAGAGGAGCAGAGAGCCCTGGCAACCACAATGGATGCCCTCTCCGGCCTGACCCTAGAAAATGACACACTTCAGTGAAAGAGTCAATTGCAACAGTACTTCTTTATTTCTTGGATAGTTATTGAAGGACTGAATCTTTCAACATAGAGTGTTTTTAGAACTGTCTCACAGGGCGTAAGAGGACACAGATATCTGAAAATACATGCCATAGATACTGTAAGACTATGTGATTTTACTACAACTGTCACTGAGATGTCTGTGAGATCATTTTCTTTTAGTATAGCTGCTTCTGAAACAGTTGTCTTTATAAAGGAAAAGCATCAGTGCACTAACAAGCATTCAAGGTCAGCGGGCCACCCTATGCCAGCCTTGATCTGCTGCATAGACCAAGTGTATAGGCTGCAGAGTCAGTGATTCTCTTTCTGTTATAAAGTGAAATCTCTCTGGTTGTAATCCTGGGGACTAGCTCCCTAAATGGGCTTCAAGTTATCGGGTCCACAGGTAACTGATAATATTGCAAAACAGGAAAATTGGTACATAAAATCGATTCCACAATAATTTCTGATGGAAGATTTTTTTAAAAACCCAGGCATCGAGGATGACAAAAAATAAACCCTAATGAAACGAATGGTATTATAGTATGAGTTCTACCTACAAGCAATCAGTGTGAGAATCTCAGGAAATAAATTCACTGAATCTGAGGTACTCAAACTGTGGTCCCTGAACAACAGAAACAACACCTGAGAGCTTGTTAGAAAAGCAAATTCTTGGCCCGGACCCAGGATACTGAGTCAGAATATGTGGAAGGGGAACCCAGAGGTCTGCGTTTTCACAAGCCCTGGAAGTGACTCTGATATAGACTGTTCATTTATCCACTCAGACAAAGACATTTATCCTGTTATTGTAAGATAAAATTATCCCACTTTACTTCATGTTTAAGCTCCAATTAAAGACAAAGCCCTGAGCGAGGGGCTAGGAGGCAGGAAGAGTTAGAGAGGGAAGGTGTGGAGTCCCTGCCCTGAGAAATGCATTGTCCACTAGGGAAGGCAGGACTTGTACCCAGCAACTCAACACATGGCCAGTGTGTAACCTGCTACCAGTTAGAAGGTTCCAGAAGACACTTTCGTTTCTGGTTGGGTGGAAGGTGACAGTAAGAGGTGGTCCCATGAAGACGGGATGTCTATAATAATGGATCTTGACATTGGGACAGGCCTGTGATAGCAGGAATAGGCAGCAGCCAAAGCATGAGGGTTACACAGGACATGAAGGAAGTAACCAGGTCTGCTGATACATGAGAGACAGGAAGGTGAGCTGGTGACACCAGGTGACTCCTGAATGCAGACGGGTAAAAGCCCAGGGACTGTGGCTTGTCTTCCTTGTGTAAAGCTTACACCTGGGGCTTATGTTCAGAAACTGATATCTGATAAACAAGGCAACTTAAAGATTTCTGTAGCCAGTTTATTTTTCTGTACTTTTTTGCGCTGCATTTTCCAAAGTGGAGAGTCTCGGCTGCTTCCAGGATTCATAGCTAAGGGTCTACCCAGGAGGAGGAACACACAAGAAAATTTTAAAGTAGGCACAAGAATCCGGGTGTCACAGTAGCTGCAAGCCATTTGATAAAGGGACAAAAAACAAACAAAACCTTACCATACCTAAAAGCCCCTGAGGACACCTTGTTTTTAACTTTATAAAATTGACAGTGGTGTACCTTAGTCCTCCTCAAAAAGTTAAAATGATACTCAACATCTCTAGTTGGAGAAAAAATACTTTTCACGATCAAGAAGTTTGGTTTTGGCATCTAGAAAACTGACATCAAGAGAACGCTTTATTTCCTGATGTTGGTAGGTGAATGATGGGTCGCTGAGACTATGTTTGATGTCACACCAAGGCTCTGATTGAAAAGAAGCCGGACTCAGAATTGGCAATATCTGCTTCTCATCCCAGCCCTGCCATTTAACCACCTGAGGCAGTATGGGCAGCTCACTGAGCTCTCTAAACTTCAGTTTTCCATCTGTCAAAAAAGCAGACATCGACCTGCCCCACCCTCCTTGAAATTTAAATAAAAAATAGATAAGTTGCTTTGAAAATTATAAAGTGCAAGCCTACACAGATGTATAGAATTAGCCTTTTCATTGGGACACTGGGTACTAATTAACACTTGTTACTCTTTGAAAATATGAAACTAAAATGTTCTATGCCCTTGAGAGTCTCCTTTTAAATATGTGCAGATACAGCAGTTCTGAGGAACAAACTTGGCATCAACCAATTCATTCTCCCCAGGAACATTTCAAGGTAAATTTTTTACTTGTAATTTTTTTCTTTAAATGCTATTTCTCTGACCACAATAGAGCATCCAGTTATCTTTCGACAGTTCCTGGTGAGCACAACTCAGTCTTCAGCAACACTGACACATACAATGGCAATAATTTATCATCTCTGCAGTCGTTTAGTCCCAGATGGACCATTTACTAATTTATTTCCATATGTAACTGGCAGAGAGATTAATCAGGCTTCCAACTTGGAAACCTAAATTGTGCTTTATTCCCTTAACGGGCTAACTCTGGGCAAAGAGAAAGCATACGTTTACATAGAAACCAAGGGGTCCTCTTGAAAACACATGACTTCACACACACACACACACACACCCCTTTCCTAAGACAATGTGCTTATGTCAACTTGGAGGGCTAAATCTCTCTTTAGATCCCCCTGGACCTCACACAGGAGCAGTGTCTGGTGTGACCCCAGGCAGAGGTAAGCCCAGAAAGAAAGGGAACAGCATGTCAGGCACAGTTGCAGCCACGTGCCCCTCCTCTCTGCAAGGCCAAGGTCTCGGATTTCTGAAACTAAAGAGATCTTTTTGCCATGGTGCTGCGCCCAGCTGGCTCAGCTTCGCAGACACTGGAAACTATGCACTTTCTTTTTTCCACTCTTTTTAAGGGTCTGGACTTGACTGAATTCAGCAGCTGCTGTGGCCTCAGCAAGGCAATGGCTAATGAATTTGCTCCCAGTTTCCCTGAGCTCCCTTCTTGGTTTGTTTTTAATGTTAACCCAATGATATCAGCCTCTGGCAAAGAGTTGGTTAATGGCATTAGTGTCAGGTGATGGTGTTTACATATGGAACTTGAGCCAATCCCAGCCTGGGCCAGAAAGCAGGTGACAACCTTAAGTGGAACCTGAAGTCAGCTCTAAGAAGGTTCAGCAGCTAAGACCACCGAGTGGTCCACACACTTGGGTCTCTAATCAACTCTGCAGCTTTGGAAAAATCACTTAATAGTTCTGGTTCAAAATGCTCTTCTCTGTAATATGAGGTGTTTAGCTCCTTCAAGTCCTTTTCACCTCTAAAATCTTCCAATTCTATGAAAATGAAAATAATCAGCCATTCACCTGGTGACTGTGTTTAGCTGATGCCAAACAGCAGGAGGTTTGGAAGCAACTGAAAAAAGCTGAATAGGTCCAGATGCTTGGTGCTACAATAGACAGGGCCTTACAAATCTTCACATCAGTACTGTCTTTGAGCACAGAATATAAACATTTGAAGGTTGTCCAACAACCTATATCTTTACAAAGTTTTAAGACTTCAGTTAAATTAAACAGTTTGAAATACTATTCTAGGTATGGCTAAACACATCAAAGTACTTAAGTCATAGCCCTTGACCTTAATACACTTATATCTTAGTTCAGGGGATAGACAACTAATCTTAATGTAATGAAATATGTGCTGTAAGGGAAGGAAAAGAAACTGATACGGGAACATGAAGAATGGAGAAATCATCCCAGTAAGAATGAGGTGTGTGTCAGAGGATCTAGAAAGTTTTATAGAGGAAGTACATTTTAGCTGGGCTCTGTGAAAGAAAAATGAGGATTAAGGTATCCGATCAGAGACAAAAGCAAGAGGAAAGGCCTTGAAGATCCCAAGTGTGGCTGGGACACAGTAATTAGGACCCTGGGACAGGAGCACGGGGTGCTCAAAGAAGAGGAGACCAAGTGAGAGGGAGGCTGGAAAAGGACTAATGGTGGAAAGCCCTGGACACCAACCAACGGATTGGCCTTTCCCTGAGGTCACCAGGAGTCTTCAAGAGTTACTGGGCAGGGGAGACTCCAAATGAGTTATGCCTCAGGAAATTTGTTCTGGCAATCCTATTGCCAGTTAAGACTGCTAATAAGATCAGTCTGTACCTTCATTTTTCTCTTACTCATTCCATGCGACCACTATTTGGGAATCCCTCAAATTTATTTTTTTTTTCAAATAAATTTCCTGGCCCTAGCATGGAATCCACTGAATTTCCTACAAATACTGCCAGGATTTTACATTCAAATGACTAATTCAGCTTAGGGTATTGCATTTAGGTTTGTGTTTTTCTATTCTTACGAAAGAGTTAAAATAAAATGACATCGATGGATGTTTTATTTTGTTTTTACACTGAAAAATGCTTCTGTATGATGAGAAAAATACACACACACACGTTGAGTGGAGGAAAGGTCTGCTCTAGCACTCCCAAACAGACAGAAGTTGAACTAATCACCTTAAGTTGTTCAATGAAAATTTCTTTGATTTCCAGTTTTAGTCCCAGGTTAATGAACCAAAGATCTCCAGGGGACCCCAAACCCAATAACAGAATGTCATGTGAACTCTCATACCAATGGCACTTGGTTCCTCTGCCTGGGGGGTAAGCACAGGCGGCCTTGTACAGCTCTCACAGGGAGGTATAGTGCACCAGGACACAGGGGGTCCATGCCAGGCAAGCCAGAGCACCAGCAACGGAGTCTGCAACCTGTACTCCGGACAGCACCAAAGATGGGCTAGGGTCCACAGACTCCACTAAAAGGAGTGCCCTTTGTTATGAGCTACCGCGAAAATTCCCCACGGAAGACAAACTTCTCTTGACCACTCGGGGTCACTCAAGAGGATGATATGTGGACACCCATGGGAGGCTTCAACGTTAATTTCAATGTGGGATCATAAAA